AATCAGCAAGTCCTCCCACAATACAATGTGAGTAAATTCATTCAGTTTAACAAACGAGTAAGAGTGAGGGGACATACTGCTACAAACTCAGACCAGCATGCAAGTTACTGCGGCACCACTGTGGATGACACAAGTGTGGTTATGTAATAGGGTTTTTCCACATGTGTTAAGCCAGTACATGCTTATTTTGCAGTAAAGGCATGTAATCTAAGACAGCAGGCAAGGTTAAATTAAGAGAAGTTATTTTGGGAACACATAATCTGAACTGCTGTCATGACAAACTCAAACATAAAGACCTACTTCCAACAGCAAAATTATGTCCAGATATGACGAGTGACTACTAGAATTGTGTGCATACTTCTTCCAACTCTTAGACTGCAGCAAAAATTACTACATCACTATAATATTTGCTATACTTACAGTCACACATTGAAGTGATTTTGAGAAAATTATTTTACTCTGGTCATCTGTACTATTGATGCAGCAGTTACAAGAGGGACAACATTTCATATTTTTGTTGTGTGAGTCTAAGGCAAGCAATATCTTGACCAGAAAGAATGAAAGACATTTATGCTAACCAATTGTCAGACACCATTCTTTCATTTAAGGGCCCATTCAAAATCTAAAATTCACATCCCTGGCTAGATGCGAAGCCCCATGCTCAAAATCAAAACCCAAATTAATGTAGAAGATGTTACTAATTGTATTTTCAACTTCCTTTAAAGCCCTCCTTCCTGCCCCGTCAAGTCCCCCAATTCCTTCAGCTTCCACACTCACCCATACCTTACATTTGTACCAAAATTCACCTCCGTTTTCCAGCAGTTTTAACTTCAGATTTGTATCTCCATGCACTTGTTTGCACTACTTCATCTCCTCACCAACCAAGAATTGTTTCTTATACTCAGATTTGTAGTGTCTGGTCTGGTTTTAAAAATCTTAAGTGACGGACCTTCCATCATTCTCTTTAGGAAGGTCCAAATATTATCTCAGTTTGTGAACTCCATGGGCTGCAGACCATGCCTTATATACTTGTACAGGTCTAACACAATGGTGGCTTTATCCCATCAGGCCCTCTGGGATCTATTGCAACAGAAACAGCTAAGTATCTCACAATCTAACTTAGGGGCCAGCAACCTATGACACACAGGTCAAGCCCAATGCACAGAGCCATTGGATCTGGCCTGTAGATACAGGGCTTCAGTGGAAGGAGCTTCCTCATGCCATGGTGGGGAAAAGTGGTAGTGGCAGTGGTGGCAGCTGGGGCCTAATGCCTGTCTGCCTATCTTTTCATCCACCTCTGACCTAAACTGGGTCATTCCAGTATACAGCTGAAAGGGGTTACTAATGATTCATGATGTAACAGATCCATCTCAATATATTTTTCATACTATCTGGACTAAATCATCATTTTTTCCATTTTTACTCCATTGGTACTAATTATGACAGGTAGCACCTGAAATAATTCCATACATTCTCTTTGGCGAGCACATCATTCAAATATTTGTAGCCTATTATGTCCACATGTCATGTCTACCTATCAGAAGAAGTCCCAAGAGAGTTACTAAACCTCTCGTTCAGCCATCTTTCTTCAGGTTAAGCTTTTTTCTGGAAAACTGCCATCCTAATGGCCACTACTGCTGTTATAGATCTGGAAAATTCATGGCCTACTTATTGATTGTCTCTTAATGAAGAGTCATAAAGGAGACACATACATTTGAGCAGACACTACTTTCTTGTCCCAATTAGTACTGAAGCACACAAATGTCCAAACTAAACAGAGTTCTTTGTCCAAAGCCTCAATCACTGGAATGAGAGAGATGACATCATTTCTGGTTATACAGAAATCCATAAAATATTATTAAAAAGAACTAAGGAAATTAGAAAATTAAATAAATTGTTCATTTCCTTCCAGCTTCAAAGACCACAAATAGGTCTCCCAGTCACATTTCAGTAAAAGTTGGAAACTTTTTTTATTAAAAATGTTTGTGGTACACATCACAGGTATTTGCTCTCCCCTATTAAAACACATTCTACCATATGCTTGTTTTCCGAGTAGTATTAAGAAAATGTTGAGCATTTTGTGAGCATTTTGGCAAACATCCAGAAGATAGTAAAAATTACAACTAATGGGTCTGTCTTTTTGCCACTATGGTTTATAAAATAGTACTATTTTTCTTACCCTCTCACCTTTTATACTGTTACACTGGTGTATCCACCTATCTCCACTAAGGGTACTCTTGTACCACCTCAAGAACCTCCAGGGGTGAATGTGATTTCCTTTAAACAGTTTTCCTCTTAGAAAAAAAATGGAACCATTGTTCTCCAACTTCCCAATTTTCAAATCAGACTCCTCCCAAAAGCTCAATTCACTCTCCCCCATATTATTAAAATTTAAATAAAGCCACTGGAAGAACAACTAAATAAGTTATAATGCTAGCTACAACTAGCTAATGTCCTCCACTTATCAAGGGAAGCTAACTTCAAAACATGACGTTGAGTTGAAACATTTGTATCCTGTTGGTCTCAGTGGAACTGGATGTCCACATATTAAAACTATACTATAAAGTAGTACGCCATTCTATCACCAGCTCCATCACAGACAGCATCTCTATCAAACACAGATTTTGCCATGTTTATCTCCGTGACTTAGTTATGGCAGTGTATATCCAGGAATGGAGCAGTACTTCCATAAAACTCCTGAAAATTCAGCATCTCATCTACTTAGACACACAGGTTGTTGCAGAAGCATCACTCTGGCACTTACTACCCACTCAATCAAAATCCAGGTCAAGGTGTCTCTTCTGATATTCAATGAACTCCATGAGTTCAACACTAACTATAGGAAAGATGTCCTCTAGAATGATTATCTACATTCCCACCAGAACAATACTTAATTTTTAAATTAATACAGAATGGAGTAGGCTAAGTGAATGGATCCAATATCCTCACCATAGGATAGTTGAGATCACCTCCAAAATTCTACCATATTACGTCTAAGTAATGATTCATATTCTTCCAGAAAATTTCTTTAGAGACCAGATTGTTCCACAATCCCAAAAGAAGAAACTGGCAATTCATAGTTTCCCAGAGAACTAGCTTCAAGATGACAACAAAGGAAAAAGGCACACCATGTTCTGGATAAGCTGGCCACCAGAAAATAAAGCAAAAATTACCAATACAATGGAGAGGAAGAGAAAACTGTCTGGAAATGTCTACTTACCCCTTGTTCAGATTCCAACAGTTCTGTTTTGACTCTGACAGACGGCATCCCATCAAGCATAAGCATTCTGTTTTCAAAGGCGCTGATGTCCTAAGAACAAAAAGTGAGAGGCCAAGGATCAACACAAAATGAATAGATAAAATCACATCTGATTCAATTCACTTATAACAACATAGATGCAGTGCAGGTGTATTAGTTTTTGCTTCAAGTTAATTTAGAGAGGATACTGAACTTCAATTTACCAACACACTAAATCTGAACCCTCTTTTTTTAAAGGAAAAGTTGGGTAGTTATTATTAGGATATATCTGCTATTAACTTACAGTTTCTTATTTGAAACAGATTTTATAATAAGTATTAATATGCATGTGTGCACACATATATACACATAGTTCTTCCTAGTTACTATTTACAGATTTAGAATTGAAGACAAACTGTTTTAGTTGTAAAGTGCAGTGTTTTATTTGCAGGTCTATCATAATCAGGTACTTTTTCTTAAATTTCAACCAACAATTTTATTTCTATTTTATAATGTTTACACAATAAAACAAGCCACACCTGAGACAGAGAGTAAAAGAGAATACTGACAGAGGGCCTATGTGTCTTTGTTGTTCAGCCTTCTCAGGATATAGATTCATAGATTCATAGATTCATAGATTAAGGGTCGGAAGGGACCTAGTAGATCTTCTAGCCCGACCCCCCGCCAGGGCGGGAGAACAACAAAAACCCCAAAAAGAGAAATGGGACTCAAACGAGTCCAGCTAGGTGGGCATCCAGCCTCTTCTTAAAGACCCCCAGGGTAGGGGCCAGCACCACTTCCCTTGGAAG